TTGTGGGTTTGGAAGGTGCTATCTATGGATCTTTGATGAGTTTCTGCAGTTCGTCTTGTAGATAGCACACACAGATATTCCTATGGAACAGAAGTATATTTCTGTGCCTAATAGACGATATTGGGAGAGTTTGCAGTATCAGAACCATGTTGCATTTCAAAGATTTAAATTGTCAGGATAGGTTGTGTAAATGTACCTAATGGATATTTTCAAATCAACCAGTTCAGTGATGTTATTCCATACCTCTGGCGCAGATGGACTTGAGATCACTGATGGTCAGGTTACACTACTGAGCAGGCAAAAGGGGCTGAATGTTCCTATGTACAAAGAGTCAACATTGTCAAGGATTTGAACTCAGTCTGCTGCTCACCCAATAAGATACACGACCTGGGGGATTACAGGAAGGTTGTGGGGTTTTCAAAGGCAAGGCAGGGAGGAAATCTTCACTGAAAGGGTTATTGAGTTGCTAAAAAAAGGTGGAACACATAGAAAATAGGAGCTGGAGCGGGCCATTCAGCCCTTCAAACCTGCTCCAAGATGGTCATGGATGATCATCCAACTCAATACCTTGTTTCCATTATCCTTTAACGCAGGAACAGAAAGGAGATCAAACTGCCAGGAATGGTTTGAAAGACAACTGGATGTTTTCAGAGACAGAATGGGCTGAGTGACGTTATTAGGGAGATGTTAGAACTGTGCTCCTTGGAGAAGGAAGGATTGAGAGGTAATGGTCTTTAAATAGATAAGGGTTTGGGTGAAAGAGGAGAGGACATAGCCCTGACATAGTTGAGCAAAGGAGCAATGGGAACATGAGGATAAACCTATTCCTGCAGCGAGTGGTCAGGATCTGGAATGCATTGCCTGAGAGTGTGGCTTCAGAAGAGAATTGGATTGTTATTTGAAAAGGAAAAATGTATAGGACCATGGGGAAAAGTAAGGATGGGTTTGGGCGAGAGGGTATAGAGGCACAAGGAGAATTACACCCTACGTAGAGCTGGTCTGACTGCTCTCCTTCTGGATTTGGGGCCATTTGTGGATTCTGTGACATAATGAGATGTGTTGCATGGCGCTTGGTGTGCTAATGTTTTGTAACAACAGCCTGGTTGGGAATTTCTCTGGGTGTGCTCTCAATCCACCTTCATTAGAAAAATCTTGGACATCTGTAAGCAGACAGTCCATTGAAAAGTCAGGAAAGGTGACAGTTCTGTTTCAGATACATCACCGTCTTTAGGGTTGGCTGAGTGAGCTGTTTAAAAATGATAACACTGCCATCTGCTGGCCTTCTCCTCCCTTTACATAAAATAAAAACCGAAAGAACTGTGGATGCTGTAAATCAGGAGCAAAGACAGAAGCTGCTGGAAAAGCTCAGCAGGTCTGGCAGCATCAGTGATCGGTCTGGTGATCGGTAGGTTCTGAGGAAGGGTCACCGGACCCGAAACGTTAATTCTGACTTTCTCTTCACAGATGCTGTCAGACCTGCTGAGCTTTTCCAGCAACTTCTGTTTTTGTTTCTCCTTTTACACATTCCCTTTATTTCCCACAGGCAAGTTGTGCCGAATAACTTTGAGTAACGTTCACAAATCGTGAGTTTTTATAGGCTTTGTTAGTAAGTTTGCAGATGACACCAAAATTGGTGGTATAGTGGAGAGTGAAAAAAGGTTATCTAAGATTACAAGGAGATCTTCATCAACTGGGCCAATGGGCTATAGAGTGGCAGATGGAGTTTAATTTGGATAAATGCACAGTACTTCATTTTGGTAAAACAAACCAGGGAAGGATTTATACAATTAACGGTTGGGCCCTGAGTAGTGTTGCGGATTAGAGAGACCGAGGGGTTCAGGTACATTGGTCTTTGAAATTTGGATCACAGGTAGATGGGGTTGTCAAGAAAGTATTTAGCACACTTGCCTTCATTGCTCAGACCTTTGAGTATAGGAGTTGGGAGGCAATATAAGGCTCTGGTCAAAGGGCATATGGAATATTGTGAGCAGTTTTGGGCCTGTATCTATGGAAGGATGTGCTGGAGGGGGTCCAGAGGAGGTTTACAAGAATGATCCTGGGGATGAAGGGCTTGTCATATGAGGAAAGGTTGAGGAAGCTGGCTCTGTACTTGGTGGAGTTTAGAGTGGAGAGTCTGAAACATACAGAAGCTTACAGACCTGGATAAAGTGAACGTTGGTAAGATGTTTCCACTGATAGGGGAGAGTGGGACATAGCCTCAGAATAAAGGCACGATCCTATAGAACAGAAGTGAGGAGGAATTTCTTCATCCAGAGGATGGTTAATTTGTGCAGGTCAAGTCATTGAGTGTATTTAAGACAGAGCTAGATAGGTTCTTGATTGGTAAGGGGATTAAAAGTTACGGGGAAAAGGCAGTAGGATAGGATTGAGAAGCATATCAGCCATGATCGAAAGGTGGAGCAAACCCAATGGGCTAAATGATCTGATTCTGCTCCTACACGTTATGGGTTGAGGAGGGTTTGGGGGGTAGGGCTCGAGTCAATTCGGGTGGTTTCATCTACCAGGCATTGTCACGTCAGTGTTCGGGGTGGGTTCTAGTGCTGTGGTACGGTGTGGCGATGGGATATAAGTGAGGTGGGGAGGGCTGGGGGTAACAGTGGAGAATCAGGGGTTCAGATTAATAGTTAGCCTAGAATCAGAGCAGGTTTCTGATTCCCTCATCTTTCCTGGGTGACTCTGAAGTTTGGGGAGTTGGTGCCTTCTTCATATTGCTCTGATTTTAAGGAGCTATTCCCGAGGGTTCAATTTGCTGGGGAACTGCCCAACAGAATTTTCAATTTGTTGAATGTGGCAGATGGGGCGTCAATCCCATGGGCTGTAATTCCTGGGTAATGTCACGCTTCTTGATTATCGTAGGAGCTGGACTAATCCAGGTAGCTAGAGATTAATTCCATAGAGAAAGAACTTGCATTTACATTATCCGTGCATGACCTTCAGATGTTCCAAAATGTGTTACAGCATCCTGGTGGGGGACCTGGGCTCAGGGCATTGGCTTTCCTGCTCCTCTGGTGCTGCCTGGCCTGCTGTGTTCCTCCAGCTTCACACTGTATCAACTTGGGAGTATTGCGCACAGTTCTTGTCATCACACTTATAGAAGGATGTAAATGCTTTGGAGAGGGTACAGAAAAGGTTTTTACCAGAATATTGCTTGGAATGGGGGATTTTAGTGATGAAGAAATATTGAACAGACTGGAATAACAAGGTGTAGAGCTGGATGAACACAGCAGGCCAGGCAGCGTCAGAGGAGCAGGAAAGCTGACGTTTCGGGTCTGGGGAAGGGGAAGGAGGCGCTGAAATAAATAGAGAGAGGGAGATGTGTTGATAGAAGGCATTGAATAGATTGGGTTTGTTTTCACTGGAATGCAGGAGGCTGAGGGGCGAACTGACAGAAGTTTATAACATTGTGGATGGCATGGACTGAGTGGAAAGTACGAGACTTTTTCCCAGGGTGGAGGGGTCAATTACTAGGGGGCACAGGTTCAAGGTGTGGGGTGTTGGGGGGGTTAGTTTAAAGGAGATGTGCAAGGCAAGGTTTTCACACAAAGGGTGGTGAGAGCCTGGAGCACGTTGCCAGAGGAGATGGTGGGAGCAGACACAGTAGCAGCATTCAGGAAGCACCTGGACAAATACATGGAAAGGAAGGGAATAGAGGGATACGGATCCTGTAAGTGAAGACAGTTTTAGTATGGAAGGGCAAACTGTATCGCTACAGGCTTGGAGGGCTGAAGGGCCTGTTCCTGTGCTGTATTGTTCTTTCTTGAATGACTTACATTGGGATATTCCAACACCTTCCTGAATTTTGCCTTGGAGGTGGGGGAAGAGGTTTTATGGACTCCAAAGAGGAGTTACTCACCACAGAATTCCCACTCTGTGGCCTGCTCCGTTGCCATGGAATTTATATGTCACATCGAGTTAACTTTATAATCAATGAGCACGCCCTGAAGAATTTTTTTTAAAATTGGATTTGTGGGACGTGGGTGTCACTATCTGGGCCAGCATTTATTGTCCGTCCCTAAATGCCTTTGAGAAAGTGGTAGGGAACAGCATTCTTGAACTGCTGCAGTCCATGTGCTGTAGGTAGACCCCCACTGCCATTAGGGTGGCTGTTCCAAGATGTCGACCCAGTGACAGTGAAGGAACGGGGCAACATATTTCCATCTCAGGACGGTGAGTGGCTTGGAGGAGAACTTGCAGAAGGTGATGTTCCCAGGTATCTGCTACCCTTGTCATTCTAGGTGGAAATAGTGGTTGGTTTGGAAGGTGCTGTCTGAGGATCCCTGGTGACTTGATGGGCTTGGAGGAGGAGGACTATTCAAGACTATTGATCAAACGCATCAATGGGCTGAAAAATGGTAGATGGAGTTCAAATTTGGATAAATGCGGGGTATTACATTTTGGTACAACAGGGCCAGGACTTATACAATTAATGGTGCGGCATTGGTTAGTGTTATAGAAGAGAGGGACCTAGAGGTTCAGGTACTTAATTCTTTGAAGTTTGTGTTACAGGGTGGTTAAAAGGTGTTTATCACGCTCGCCTTCATTGCTCAGTACTTTGAGTTTGAGAGTTGGAAAGTCATGTTAGATGACATTAGAATGTTGGTGAGGCCTCTTCTGGAATACTGGGTCCAGTTCTAGTCACCCAGTGGTAGGAAGGACATTAAGCTGGAGAAGGTTCGGAAGGGATTTACCAGGATGCTGCCAGTATGGAAGGTTTGAGTTATAAAGATAGAGACACGATAGTAACACACATTCTTATTTACATTAAAAGATGAGTTGACTGGGTTGATCCCTGTCATGTCCCTCCTGACAGAAAAATCCATCAATCCAGAATACCCTTTTTATCGTGATCACCAGAGCTCACAGTCTTTTTGTTATCTAGCCACAGTATTTGCAATGGTACAGTGCAAAAAGATGTTAGACTGAGTCACGCTTAACGAAAACAGACAGGTATATTTGTTTTAAAAAACTTCTCAGAGCAGTGCGGAAATCAATTTTAATACATGACGACAAAAAGTGGGGGGGTGCAGATGTATGGAGGTCATGCACTGGTCCTGTTGTGAGGTAACACATTCTACCAGCCTGACCATGTGACACCCTGAGCATTGCTTTGAGATTGGCAAAGCATCTTCTGGTCTGGACGGAGTGTGCGGTCAGCTGTGGGAGGGAGTGACTAGTCTCTTGTTCTTTGGTGGTGGAGGAGGCGGTGGAGACTTAGGGCCTTTGGTGTCATCTGGCGTTGGCAGACAGGCAGCCTGTTGGGAAGGAAATGCCAAGAGAAAGTCAACAAAGAGTTGTTGAGCAGAGTGAGGTGCAGCAAAAGTCCCGTCTTGTCACCACTGGCAAGATTGTGTTGGCAGTTTGGGGGTGATTTACCCAGCCAAAGTTCTGGGGACCCTGATTCGAATCCCACCATGGCAGATGGTGGAATCTGAATTCAATAAAAAAAAGTCTGGAATTAAGAATCTACCAATGACTGTGAAACTGTTGCCGATTGTCTGAAAAACCCACTAATGTCCTTCAGGGAAGGAAGCTGCCATCCTCACCTGGTCTGGCCTACATGTGACTCCAGACCCACAGCAAAGTGGTTGATTCTTAACTACCCTCTGGGCAATTAGGGATGGGCAATACATGCTGCCCAGCCAGCAATGCCCTCATTCTGTGAATGAATAAAAGGGAAAATGAAAAAGACCTGTCTTTCTCTCTCCACAGCGGCACAGTCAATCATATGTCTCTGGTTTGTCCCTCAGTGGGTGAAATTTCCACTTTGTCCCCACTTTCCTTTCACCCCCTAAGCCTCACAATCTTCCAGGTTCTTGATCAAAGTGAAGCTCCATTGCTGGTTTGTCAAGTGTTTGGCTGGTACTTGATGCTTCAGTCCTCCCTTAGAATGATGATGTGGCATTCTCGTTTAACTTCAAATCTTTAAAAGAAAACAATTTTCTCCCTTTTCTTTGAAACCCAAATCTACCGACTTTGGGCAAACCGCAGATTGGTCAATGACCAATGCCAACTAATCAGGTCATAAGGCTAATCACTTTCAAAACTGGCATGAATAACAGTGTGACACAAGGTGTCCAATGACTCGATCACAGTGACAGGGAGGTTAGAGGTTACAAGGCCCCAGAGCTGGCCACCAAAGGGCCTCTGTATTGCTAAGCTGGTTTTCATTGCATGTGGTTTAGCCCCATAAAATGAGCACCACTGTATCAAGTCCAGACCCCATCATTTTCATTTAATTGTGTGTTTACGCTAAGTATAGCTACTGAGAAGTTGTGAAGGGAGCTAGATCATATGAAGAAGGAAAAAGATTAAGGCCACTTGGCATTTCGAGCCTGCTCTGCCATTCAGTAAGACCACAGCTGACCTGAATTTAACCTCAACATGACATTTTTTAATTCATTCACAGGTTGTGGGCATTGCTGGCTGGGCCAGCATTTCTTGCCCACCCCTAATTGCTCAGAGGGTAGTTAAGCATCGATCACATTACTGTGGGGCCTGGAAACACATGGGGGTCAGACAAGGTAAGGATGGCAACTTATCCGTCATAAAGGACATTCGTGATCCAGTTGATTTCTTCCCCTCAACTATTCACAATGACTCCATGGCCTTTATTGACTCTTAATTCTAGACATTTTTTTTATTGAACTTAAATTGTCTAGGTGGGATTTGAATTTGAGTTCCCATAACATTACCTGGTCTCTGGATCACTGGTCTAACAAAAACATCACTAGAACATTGGCTCCCTTGTAACCTCCTCGAAATCTTTCATCCCCTTGGTGATCAAGAATTGGTCTACCTCTGCATTAAAAATATTTCAATATTCTGCATTTTGAGGAACATTGATGAACATCAGATAGCACAGAACAGGAGCCTGGATTGTCGGGCTCCAAGTAAGTGTCTTCTCTTATCATCCTCTGGGTAAGGTGATGGTGAAGTCACCACAGTCCCAGTGGGCTTCCTCATCATTAGAGAGAGATGACTGGTGGTGGTTTGACTTAAGGGTCACCTTGGCTCAAGGCTGAGGTGGGATCTTCATGGTGACGTCAGTTGGTATGGGAATTGAATCTGTGCGGTTGGTGTCATTCTGCATCGCAAACCAGCTAAGTTTGCTAACCGACTGCTTCCTCTGTATGTGGTCATGTTCAATTCAGCGACTTTTTGTTCACTCTCGAGAGTGCGTTTCTCACAGTTCTACTATGATGTCAACTTAATTACAATGTTCAATGTCAAGCTAAACGTGCAGCCCAAAGTGTCCCATGACAAACCTGCAGTTAAGTGCACAGATTCTTTTTTTTAACGTGAATACAGTTTTGACTCACCTTATTCTGGAACTGCTCATTAGCTGACCCCTGGTGGATGGGGAGACTCAGAGGGTCGCCCTGATCCTGGCTGAAATTCTCCAGGAGCAGAGGGTTAATTTTCTTTGGCAATGGGGGAGGCCTGGCACTCTTTACCCGTCCACCGAAACCATTGAGTACAGTAAAGGCCTGTCCTGTAGAGCACACAGAGAGCACCAGTGGGTGTTAGCAATCAGAAGCCTTACCTAGAGGACGCAAACGTTTGGGCACTATGACAGAATGCTGGAAAAACTTAGCAGGTCTGGCGGCATCTGGCGAGAAACAGAGCTAATGTTTTGAGTCTGGTTTTGCTGTTGAAGAAAAGTCATATTGGACTCAAACATTAACTCTGCTTCTCTCTCCACAGACCCTGCCGGACCTGCTGAGTTTCTCCAGCACTTTCTGTTTTTATTTCAGATCTCAGCATCTGCAGTATTTTGCTTTCATTTGACTGTTCGGTCACTTGAGTTTTACTGGTCCTGTCTCATTCTCCACTTTTGTCCCTGCACTGTTTTGGGCCGGCGATAGCAGGGGTAATAAACAAAATATTGGTTAGGCCACAGCTGGAGTATGGTCGCCGCACTAGAGCATTGCGTGGAGGGGGTCCAGAGGAGATTCATCAGGACGTTGCCTGGAATGGACCATTTCAGCGATGAAGAAAAGCTGGATAAGGTCATAAGATATAGGAGCAGAATTAGGGATGGGCAATAAATGCTGGCCTAGCCAGTAGCACCCTCATTCCATGAATGAATGAAAAAGAATTAGGCTATTTGGCCCATCGATAAGCTTGGGTTGGTTTCTTTGGAGCAGAGAAGGTTCAGCAGAAACCTGATTAAGGTGTAAAAGATTACAAAAAGATCTTGAACAATTGAGTCAATGGGCTGAGGAGTGGCAGATGGAGTTCAATTTGGATAAATTCAGGGTGTTGCATTTTGGTAAAACAAACAAGGGCAGGACTTATACAATTAAAAATATGCCTTGGGTAGCGTTGTAGAACAGAGAGACCTAGGGGTTCAGGAATATATTTTTTTGAAGCTTGCATCACATGTAGACCAGGTGATTATAAAGGCGTTTAGCACACTTGCCTTCACTGCTCAGTCCTTTGAGCAGAGGAGTTGGGGCATCATGTTGAGATTGTACAGGATGTTGGTGAGGCCTCTTCTGGAGTACTGTGTCCAGTTCTCGTTGTCCTATTATAGGAAGGATATTATTAAGCTGGAGAGGGTTCAGAAAAGATTTACCAGGATGTTGCCAGGAATGGAGGGTTTGAGTTATAAGGAGAAAGTATATAAGCTGGGACGTTTTTTCACTGGAGCATAAGAGATGACCTTATAGAGGTTTATAACATAATGAGGGATTTAAATAAAGTGAATGGCAGTTGTCTTTTCCCTAGGGTGGGGGATTTAAAGGCTAGGGGGCATATTTTTAGGGTGAGAGGAGAGAGATTTGAAAAAAGACATAAGGGGCAACCTTTTTACACAAACGGTGTGTGGAATGAACTTCCAGAGGAAATGATTAATTGGTACAGTACAGTGTTTTAAAGATATTTGGATAAGAAATGTTTGGAGGGATATGGGTCAAGCGCAGGCAGGTGGGGATGGTTTAGTTTGGGATGATGCTTGGCATGGACTAGTTGGACCGGAGGGTCTATTTCCATGCTGTATGACTCTATGACTCTATGAGGGGCATTGTCAGAAAGCAGCTATTCCCCTTAGTCGAAGGGTCCATAACAGGGGGCATAGTTTGAAAGCTAAGGGCAAAAGGTTTAGAGAGTATCTGAAGAATTTCTTTTTCTTGAGAGTGGTGGGAGTCTGGAATGCCTTGCCTGGAAATGTAGTTGAGGTGGGAAACCTCACAACCTTTTAAAAGTACTTGATGAGCATTTGAAATGTTATAATATTCAAAGCTATGGGTTAAGTGCTGGAATGTAGAACCAGTGTACATTTAGAGTAGTTTCTGTTGGTTAAGACTCGATGGGCTGAAAGGCCTCTTTTGTTCTGTATGATTCTTTCAAGGAGGGAAGGAGAAGGAAGTTTCCTGTCGGATCACAGGATGCTCCATCAAAAGCGGCTGTCAAAATCCAGATCAACACACTGCTGAAAATAATTTGAAAAGGGAAGTGATGGGATGGAATGAATGAAACACAGGAGATGGAGTAAATAATTTAACCCCTTGTGCCTTTTTGGCCAGTTGATAAGAGCAGGGCAGGTTTGCATGAAATCAACATGCGTTCCCTTGCCACACATTCCCCAATACCTTTGTAGGGTGCCGCATTGCAGGTCTAGCCACTGGTTAGAAATTACAGGAAAGAAAGAGATTATCATTCTAGGAAAGTCCTCCCTTACTGAGGCAGAGTACAATTCAAGACAGCCTTTTGATCAAAAAGACCAAGGTCACTGCCCTTTGTGTAATCTGTACTGGCAGTGGGTACAGCAGTGACTGGTGGGGCTCAGTTGGTCACTTCTCTCATCCTCAAGTGCAGCAGGTTGTGGATTTATGTCCTGCCACAGGGCTTTGAGAATAAGAATACAGCTGATCCTCTCCCATGCAGTACGCAGGAGGTGCTGCATTGTTGGTGGTGCCATTGTTTAGATGAGAGGGGGTCATATATTGGACTGAAAACTGTGTTACTCTGTCTACAGATATTACTGAGCCCACATGGTGTATCCATCCACTGTGGCTCCAATGACTGTCTCACTTAAATGAATTTCGATATAACCAGTCACTTATTGAAACTGCACTCATATCATCGTGATGCCCAATAGCACATCCTATGGCACCACCTTGAAGAGCAAGTAGAGGTTTCCCTGGCTAATATTAATCGCTTAACCAACATCTTGAAACAGGTCACCTAGTTATTATCAGATTGCTGTTTATGGGAGCTGGCTGCATGTCAATGAGTTGGTGTGTTTTCTCCATTATAGGAGTGACTACGCTTAAAATGCTCTTCGCTGTCCTCAAGGTGATTTGGGATTTCCTGAGGTTGTGAAAGGCGCTATATAAATACATGCTGTTTTTTATATTTCCACTTGCTTCAGGCCAGTCTGTACTGGCTTTTCGTTATTTGTTCACGGGATGTGGGTGTTGCTGGTTGGGCCAATATTTATTGCCCACCCCTAAATGCTGTGGAGAAGGTGGTAGTATGCTGCCATCTTGAACTGCTGCAATCTTTTGGGCTCAACCCCTTAGTTCAGACCAGCCAAGTTAGCTGCATTTTGAAAAGGGAAGAAGGTAGGTTTGCTATATTATGGTTAACTGGCCAGAGAGCCTCCTTTCCTGAAGGGGAGCCCTTATCCAAGAGGTTTCACACTGGGAGATCAGAATGAGAGGGTGTGCTGAGTTGCCCATTTGTGGAGCAGAGGAGTTGAGAGATGAAGGAAGGGAACAGGGCGCAGCATGTGAAAACACCTTGATGCAGCACCTTACCTGCTGGACTTGCAATGTTTTCATCAGCAGGCTGTTCTGAATTGGGATTGCTTTCCACCATTCTCGTGTTGCCCACCAAGTGTGACAATCGTGAAGGCTCCTGGAAACAGATGGGAATTAACATCATCGAAAGGTCGTCGTGAGTAATCGGCTCTGGTGGGATTTGGCTTAAAGACCCCCACCTTTCCCAGAATAGTGACATTCTCCCTCGAGTGCGCACACACACACTGGACTGGATTTCACACAAGTTGCAAGGAACCCTCATAACATTTAAGAAGTATTTAGATGCACATTTGGCGATGCTAAGACATACAAGTCTATGGGCCTATTGCTGGAAAATAGGATTAGAATTCCGAGGTGGTAGTTTTTGACTGATGGGCTGAATGGCCTTTTTTTTCTGTAGATTTCTATGACTCTATGAACATGGAGCTACCTAAAAATGACGGCCTGATCTGATTCTGAAATTCCCAGCTTGTCGTTCCTGGCCGCAGTGATTCTCACTGACATACGACAGGACCAGTGAGTCTGTACCCTGTATCCTAGATCTACCTGGCTCCTATGTAGAGGTAAGCATTTCCTGGTCACCACAATCTCTCCCTCTCCAATTACCCCACTGAAAATACCCATGGAATAAGGCCACATTCTCAAATAACTTACGGTTGACAGTCCCAGAGGAGTCATGAACCACTGTCTGCATTCAGGAATCTTTTGAACAAAAGCCTCAAAAAGTCTTTTCTATGCTCCCCATGTGCACGCATACCACCTCAATGACAGCTTATGCCCCCTCATCCATTTCCATGGAACTTTATAGTCCTATGCCAACTCAAAGACAATTCATGGCCTCCCATCCATGCCTGATGACCTCTCATACCCTCCATTCTAATCCATGGCCTTTCCATAGCCTTTTAATCAGTGTACATTACATATAGAGCCAGTGAATCTTACATGTGTGAAACTACTTTGGGGAAAAGAAAAACATTCATTTTGAGAAATAAATGGTGTTTCTACAAGCTGATAAAAGCGTAAATGAAATAGTTTCATTAAAGGATAAATAACAGAAGCATTAAGCACTTGACAAGGGAAAGCAATGACATTGTAGCATTTTGTTGGACAAATAACCCAGAAAGCTAGGTAATGGTCTGAGGAACCAAGTTTCAAACCCACCATGATAAATAATGAAATTTCAATTTAAAAAAATCTGAATGATGACCATCAAACAATAGTCGTTAAAAACTCTTCTAGTTAACTAATGCCTTTTTGAGGAAGGAAATCTGATGCACCCAGACTGGCCCTCCATGTGACATTCCAGACCCACAGCAATGTGGTTGACTTTTTACTGCCCTTCAAAATAGCTCAGCGAACTACTCAATTTCTTAAAAACACCATGTGATACCAAGGAATGAAACAAGGTGGACCACCCAGCATCGACTTCAGCGCTAGAAGTGCAAAAATGGCAGAAACAGCCCTGTTGACCCTGCAAAGTCCTCTTTACTAACATCTGGGGGTTAGTGCCAAAATTGGGAGAGCTGTCTCACTGGCTAGACAAACATCAGCCTGACATAGTTATACTCATGGAATCATACCTTACAGACAATATCCCAGACACGGTTATGTTTTGTCTCACTGGCAAGACAGACCCAGCAGAGGTAACAGTACAGTATTAGACAGTCGGGAGGGAGCTGTCCTGGGAGCTCACATTGACACCAGGCCACAAGAAGTCTCATGGCATCATGTCAAACGTGAACAAGGATACCTCCTGCCAATTACCACGTACGGTCCTCCCTCAGCTGAGAAATCAGTACTCCTCCATGTTCACCAACACTTGGAGGAAGCACTGAGAGTGGTCAGGGCACAGAATGTACTCTGGGTCGGGGATCTTCAGTGTCGACCATCAAGAGTGACTCAGCAGTCACACTACTTATTGAACTGGTAATGTCCTAAAGGACATAGTTGCTAAACTGGGTCTCCAGATAGGGATTAAGGAACCAACAAGAGGGAAAGACATATTTGACTTCTTGACATTTAGCACCTGCCTCAGATATTAGTAGGGAGGACTTTGCAGGGATGACAGGGCTGAGTTGTAATTTCTGGTGCCTAGGTCAATGCCAAGTGATCTGATTGGTTTCATGCCTTTTTTTTGAGACTTTTTAGTCATTTGAGCAGCTTGCTAGGCCATTTCAGAGGGCAGTTAAGAGTCAACAACATTGCTGTGGGTCTGGAGTCACATGTTGGCCAGACCAGGTAAGGATGGCAGGTTTCTCTTCTTCAAGGGCGTTCATGAACCAACGGGATATGACTAACTTTTGATTTCAGATTATACTAATAGAATTCAAATTCTAATGGCTGTGATGATAGGATTTGAACACATTATCTTCCAGGGTCTCTCAACTGTCCCTCAGGGAGTGGTGGAATATAGTTAAAGAACCTTTGGCCCGTCATTTCCAGGTAAGTCAAAAATAACAACCTAACTAATCAAATCCCGTTTTCCAGCACTTGACACAGAGCCTTGTGTACATCCAAATGTTTCTTAAATGGGTTAGTAAATTTGCGGATGACACCAAAATCAGTGGAGTTGTGGATAGTGCGGAAGGATGTTACAGGTTACAGAGGGACATAGATAAGCTGCAGAGCTGGGCTGAGAGGTGGAAAATGGAGTTTAATGTGGAAAAGTGTGAGGTGATTCACTTTGGAAGGAGTAACAGGAATACAGTGTACTGGGCTAATGGTAAGATTCTTGGTAGTGTGGATGAGCAGAGAGATCTCGGTGTCCATGTGCATAGATCACTGAAAGTTGCCACCCAGGTTGATAGGGTTGTTAAGAAGGCGTACGGTGTGTTAGGTTTTATTGGTAGAGGGATTGAGTTTCGGAGCCATGAGGTCATGTTGCAGCTGTACAAAACTCTGGTGCGGCCGCACTTGGAGTATTGAGTACAGTTCTGGTCACCGCATTATAGGAAGGATGTGGAAGCATTGGAAAGGGTGCAGAAGAGATTTACCAGGATATTATTGCCTGGTATGGAGGGAAGGTCTTATGAGGAAAGGCTGAGGGACTTGAGGCTGTTTTCGTTACAGAGAAGAAGGTTAAGAGGTGACGTAATAGAGACATACAAGATGATCAGAGGATTAGATAGGGTGGACAGTGGGAGCCTTTTTCCTCAGATGGTGATGGCTAGCACGAGGGGACATAGCTTTAAATTGAGGGGTGATAGATATAGGACAGATGTCAGAGGTAGGTTCTTTACTCAAAGAGTAGTAAGGGCGTGGAATGCCCTGCCTGTAAAAGTAGTAGACTCGCCAGCTTTAAGGGCATTTAAATGGTCATTGGATAAACATATGGATGATAATGGAATAGTTTAGGTTAGATGGGCTTCAGATTGGTTTCACAGGTCGGCACAACATCGAGGGCCGAAGGGCCTGTACTGCGCTGTAATGTTCTATGTCCTATGTTCTAAGAGTTTCTGTCTCTAACACCCTAACAGGCAGTGAGTTCCAGATGCCCACTACCCTCTGGGTGAAAAAGTTCTTCATTACATTTTTTCATTGGAGCGAAGAAGGATGAGAGGTAACTTGATAGAGGTGTACAAGTTGATGAGAGGCATAGGTAGTCAGAGACTTTTTCCAAGGGCGGAAATGACTATTACAAGGGGGCATAATTTTAAGGTGATTGGAGGAAGGTGTAGGGGAGATGTCAGAGGTAGGTTCTTCACACAGAGAGTGGTGGGTGTGTGGAATGCGCTGCCGGCAGTGGTTGTGGAGTCAGATACTTTAGAGACTTTTAAGCGACTCTTGGATAGACACATGGAGGATAGTAAAATGTAGGGTATGCAGGGTAGATTGATCTTAGTAGGATAATAGGTCGGCACAACATCATGAGCTGAAGGTCCTGTACTGTGCTGTACTATTCTATGTTCTATATTAAACTTTCCGCCTCTTACCTTAAATCTATGTTCCCTGATCATTGATCCCTCCATCCAGAGATGGTAAACTCACAGAAGCAGCACTTTGGTCAAGGGCCATAAGTGAATAAGAACTCACTTCAAGGGGACCCTCAGGAAAAGTTGAAAGTGACTGATCTGCATGTGTGCATTTGATTGTAAACGTTCAGTTCGTTATTTGCAATGTTTAATGGGGATCAGAGAAATGTAGCCATGACACGTTCATTGCATTGTAGAAGTTCACAACCTTCATGTTAGGTCATTGACAGATAAAAGACAATTTCCCCAAAATATGGCTTATATGCTTCTCAACCCAATTCTTCTGCCTTCTCCCTGTAACTCTTGATCCCCTTACTAATCAAAAACCTATCTATCTCTGCTTTAGATACACTCAAGGGACTGCTGTGGAAATGAGTTCCACGGATACTGGTTCACCTCAAACCAGGAAGACAGGGATTTTACCCAATGGAATGTGATTGCCATATAGTGAGGTACCTCGGTGATGTCTGGAGGAGGAGGAGCAGCCACAGATAACTTTCTGGAGGCGAACAGCCCGCTGACTCTGTTCTCCTTCCTGGTGAACTTCTTCTCCTCAAAATCTTTCAACCCACTGTCCTGCGATTTCTCCTGGGAACGGGAGCTCTGCTTCTTTGGCAATGGTGGCTCGGCCGCACTGTTAGGAACAATAACAGCGGCTTGCATTTAGATAGCGCCTCTCATAACCTCAAGACAAAGCACGAGACAACCAGCGATATACTTTTCTGAAATATGGGTTACTGTTGTAAGGCAACTGTCAATCAGCACAGATACATTCCTACAAACACCGATCTTTTTTATCTCGCTAATTTTAGTCTGAGGATGAACACAAGTCAGCATTTTTCAAATAATCCTTTCATGGGATTCGGGTGTCTCTGACTCAGCCAACATCTGTTGCCCATCCCTAATTGCACTTGAGAAGGTGGTGGTGAGATGCCTTTTTGAATCTCTGCAGTCCATGAGGTGCAGATACACCCAACAGTGCAGCTAGCATTCCATGATCTAACAGGGGTGAGCAGAGAAATGCTGGCCTAGCCAGCAATGTCCACGTCACTGATAGTAGGAACCGCAGATGCTGGAGAATCCGAGACAACAAGGTGCAGGGCTGGATGAACACAACAGGCCAAGCAGCATCATAGGAGCAGAAAGGCTGACTTTTCGGGCCCAGACCCTTCATCAGAAAAGGGGGAGGGGAAGGGAGTTCTGAAATAAATAGGGAGAGAGAGTGGGAGGCGGATAGAAGATGGATGGAGGAGAGGATAGGTGGAGAGGAAACAAACAGGTCGAAGAGGCGGGGATGGAGCCAGTAAAGGTGAGTGTAGGTGGGGAGTTAGGGAGGGGATAGGTCAGTCCAGGGAGGACGGACAGGTCAAGGGGGTGGGATGAGGTTAGTCGGTAGGAGATGGGGGTGCGGCTTGAGGTGGGAGGAGGGGATAGGTGGGAGGAAGAACAGGTTAGGGAGGCGGGTATGAGCTGGACTGGTTTTGGAATGCGGTAGGGGGAGGGGAGATTTTGAAGCTTGTGAAATCCACATTGATACCATTGGGCTGCAGGGTTCCCAAGCGGAATATGAGTTGCTGTTCCGCAACTCATCCCTCACACCCCGTCCACGCAATAAGCCGCAACTCATCCCTCACACCCCGTCCACGCAATAAGAACCAAAAAAGAATCCCCCTCGTCCTCACGTACCACCCCACCAACCTCCGGATCCAACGCATCATCCTTCGACACTTCCGCCATCTGCAATCCGACCCCACCACCAAAGACATCTTTCACTCCCCACCCTTATCTGCTTTCCGGAGGGACCACTCTCTCCGTGACTCCCTTGTCCACTCCACACTCCCCTCCAGCCCCACCACACCCGGCACTTTTCCCTGCAACCGCAGGAAGAGCTACACTTGCCCCCATACCTCCTCCCTCACCCCCATCCCAGGCCCCAAGAAGACTTTCCACATCAAGCAGATGTTCACCTGCACATCTGCCAATGTGGTATACTGCATCCACTGTACCCGGTGTGGCTTCCTCTACATCGGGGAAACCAAGCGGAGGCTCGGAGACCGCTTTGCAGAACACCTACGCTCGGTTCGCAATAAACAACTGCACCTCCCAGTTGCAAACCATTTCAACTCCCCCTCCCATTCCTCAGACGACATGTCCATCCTGGGCCTCCTGCAATGCCACAACGATGCCACCCGAAGGTTGCAGGAATAGCAACTCATATTCCGCTTGGGAACGCTGCAGCCCAATGGTATCAATGTGGATTTCACAAGCTTCAAAATCTCCCCTCCCCCTACCGTATCCCAAAACCAGTCCAGCTCATCCCCGCCTCCCTAACCTGTTCTTCCTCCCACCTATCCCCTCCTCCCACCTCAAGCCGCACCCCCATCTCCTACCGACTAACCTCATCCCGCCCCCTTGACCTGTCCGTCCTCCCTGGACTGACCTATCCCCTCCCTAACTCCCCACCTACACTCACCTTTACTGGCTCCATCCCCGCCTCTTCGACCTGTTTGTTTTCTCTCCACCTATCCTCTCCTCTATCCATCTTCTATCCGCCTCCCACTCGCTCCCTATTTATTTCAGAACCCCCTTCCCCTCCCCCTTTTCTGATGAAGGGTCTAGGCCCGAAACGTCAGCCTTTCTGCTCCTATGATGCTGCTTGGCCTGCTAAGTTCATCCAGCCCTGCACCTTGATGTCCACGTCACTGTGTGCCAATAGTTGGGAGAGAGGATGTGTCAGATGATAGCAAAGTATTGAACATGTGGGTTGCTTTGACCTGGAACTTCTTGAGAGTTTATAGGAGCTGTGTGCATCCAGGCAAATGTGGAGTATTCCAACAAACTCCTGACTTGTGCATCGTAGATGGTGAACAGGCACTGGGAGACAGGAGATAAGTTATTCACTGCTGGATTCCCAGCCTCCAACATTTTCTTGCAGGCGCTGTATTTATATGTGGCTAGTCCAGTTCAGTTTCTGACCAGTGGTAACCCCTGGGATGTGGATAGAGGATTCAGTAATGGTGAGGTCATTGGGTTTCAGAAGTTTGATGTAATGTCAAGGGACAGGAATATATATTGGTACTTTTAGGGTTCAGCTTGTGATTGATTGCTGCACTTATTCTTAGTTATTACGCATCATTAAGGAGGGCCCAGGCCATTGGGTGTGACATCATTCAACTTGAAGACAATAAGACCATAAGACATAGTAGTAGAATAAGGCCATTTGGCCCATCAATTCTGCTCCACCATTCAATAATGGCTTATATGTTTCTCAACCCAATTCTTCTGCCTTCTCCCTGTAACCCTTGATCCCCTTACTAATCAAGAACTTATCTATCTCTGTCTTAAATACACTCAAGGACTTCTGTGGCAATGAATTCCACAGATTTATCACTCTCTGGCTGAAGAAATTCTGCATCATTTTATTTCTCATGGGTCATCCCTTCACTCTGAGGCTGCGCCTCAGTCCTAGTAACTCCTACAAGTGAAAACATATTTTCCACGTCCAATCTATCCAGTCCTTTCAGTATTCTGTACATTTCAATCAGATCCCTCATCATCCTTCTAAACTCCATTGAGTACAGACCCAGAGTCCTTGACCTCTCCCCATATTGAAAGCCCTTCATTCCCGGATCATTCTTGCAAACCTCCTCTGGACTCCCCTCAACACCAACATATCATTCCTGAGATACAGGGCTCAAAAGTGCTTGCAATATTTTAAATATGGTCTCGTATAGCCTCAGTAGTACATCTCTACACTTGTATTCTAGCCCTCTTGAAATGAATGCTAACATTGCATTTGCCTGCCTAACTGCCAACTGAACTTGCATGTTAACCTTAGGAGAATCCTAAACTGGGACTCCCAAGTCACTTTTGTGCTTCAGATTTCCAAAGCCTTTGCCCATTTAGAAAACAGTCTACATCTCTACTCTTCCTACCAAAGAGCATAACCTTAAGCTTTCCCATATTGTAATCCATCTGCTACTTCTTTGCCCACTCTCCTAGCCTGTCCAAGTCCTTCTGCAGACTCCCCGCTTCCTCAACACTACCTGTCCCTCCACCTGTCTTTGTGTCAACTGCAAACTTAACAGCAATGCCCTCAGTCCTTTCATCCAGATCTTTAATGTATAACATGAATGGTTATGCTCCCAACATGGGCTCCTGCAGAAGTCCGCCTGTCACTGGCTGCCACCCTGAAAAAGACCCCTTTATCCCCACTCTCTGCTTTCTGTCAACCAATCCTCTACACTTCATAAAGTAAGTCCTTGTCTGCGAAACATCTGGGGTCGTACTGAGGATGTGAAAGGCTGTGAACAATTAACAATTCTTTCTTGCCTTACCTCTCTCCAGGCACCTTGGGTGATTCTTTATCAGAGCTTGAAGAACTCAGGGAACTCAAGGAGATCACAGACAGTGGCCGAAATGATCGGATCATGGAGCGAGGGCGACTTCCTCCACCTCCTCCTCCTCGCCTCTCCTCAAAAAGGGACTGGAAGAAGAGTAACACAAAGAGAAGAGATTACTTTCTCAAGCTTTTTCAGGATCTCAGCCTCCTTTTGACAATGTGATTCTTCTTTGGTTTATTTAAGGAATCAAGCACTGGAGGGGTCCAGATTAAAATAAGCCTGATTCAAGCAACTCACACTCAGGATTAAATTAAGGATCTCATTCCAAGAAGTTTCAAGCCAATGAAACATTTTTTTTTTTTCAAACAAACATTACAGAAGTGAAACATGAATAAACATCCAAGACTATATTAGTACTGAGAAGGTGTAACCTTCAGGAAAGGTTGAACAGACTGAGGCTCTTTGTAGGGAAGGCTGAAGGGTGAACTGTTGTACATGTGTTCAGATATAAGCATAGAGCACATTTGTTAAAAGAATTGTGAACTAAACTATGGACATTAGGGACAGAGCAGGAAGCGATTTAAGCGTGACTATCGTGGAGTAAGTCATTTGACACACTCAATGTCATGTGAGCTGGTGTCACTTTTGCGATCTTATTGATAATTGTTGCCTTATAATTGCAGAGATCTTTCAAATGACGGAGGTGATCCACAGGATAGGTGTTGAGAAACATTCCCTACTTGGGTATTGCTCAAATCTTAGGGTCAAAAATATCAGACAGACATTAATAAATCCAATAGGAGGTTATTCAAGACACTAAAGGATTCAGAAGCAATTTCTTTACCTCAAAAGTGGTGAGAAGGTGGAACTAACTACGATGTGAAATGGTTGAGGCAAACAGCAGAGGTGCATTTAAGAGGAAACTAGATGAACACATGAGGGAAAAGGAATAGAAGGATATGTTGACAATGTAGGATGATAAAGGTTGGGAAGAGACTCTTTGGACCATAAAAACTAAACTTAATTAGTTTGTACAGTTTTGAATTACTTGTTACTTTGGTTAGACCCTCGGCACGCGACTCTTATACCTATCGTGTTATTCCAGTCATTTGGTTTGTCTCCAGCACAACTTTACTTTTATTTTTTTCTAATTGTGTTTCTGCCTCATTTAATCAGATTATAGGTCATCCCTTTGTTTGTTATTGAGCTGTTGACACTCTATTCACACCATCTAACATTTCAGATCATCTGCAGGGACTTATTATTCGACACTCCACACACACCATTTGTGTGATCTTTGATCTCCTTGGCCTTGATCTCTCTGCTTATAAATTCTTTGCCTTTGTGCTTCTCTCTCACTTCACCTGATGAAGGGGCTATGCTCCAAAAGCTTCTGATTTCTGATAGAATCCCTACAGTGTGGAAATGGGCTCTTCGGCCCAAAAAGTCCACACCAACCCTCAAAGCATCCTGCTTAGCCCCCCTATAACCCACACATCCTTGAACACTATGGGCAATCTAACATGGCCATTCCATCTAGCCGACAGATCTTTGGACTGTGGGAAGAAACCGGAGCACCCGGAGGAAACCCACACAGACACGGGGAGAACTTGCAAACTCCACACAGACAATCGCCCAAAGGTGGAATTAAACCTGGGTCCCTAGTGCTGTGAAGCAGCAGTGCAAACCATTGAGCCACCGTGCTGTCCAATTTTTTTTTTCAAAGTTGGGACCATTTGGACTATAACCTGGTGTCCTGTGACTTCTGACCTTGTCCACCCCAATCCAACACTGGCACCTCCCACATCATGTATTGTATCTTTGTCAATGTATATAATTCTGTTATCCCGAATGACTGGCTGTTGATATTGAGGATAGGACTGCGTTGGTCACAGGGAATAATTTTAAAATGGTTATACTCAAGTTATCTACCTGCCTTACATCTTATTGCATTTGTCTTTCTTTTTTTAATCAATCAGTTTCCCCTATGAGAAACACATAGGCATTTCCTGACCAAGATCCAAGTGTACACAAAGATCTGTTGGGTTTTATTTTGTGGCTTTAATGAAACACATTCCATGCGCTCATCATCTCTTAAAGAACTTCCTGACATCAGTCCCAACTTTTGACTTTTGAACCAATTTGAACTTATGACCCAGTCCCTTCACTCAGCCCATAAGACCATCAGAAATAGGAACATGAGAAGGCCATTCAGCACTTCACAGCCACCTGCCTCTGATTTCCTCACTGATCAAGAAGCTTTCGATCTCAGCCTTAAACATAGACGAGCCCCACATCTCTCTGTGGCAAAGAGTTCCAAAGACTACCATCCTCTGAGAGAAGAAATTCTTCTTCATCCCTGTCTTAAATTGGTGTCCTTTTATTCTGAGACTAGTCCTAGATTGCTCCTAGACTCTCCCATGAGGGGAAACATCCCCTGCAACAGTGCCCCCATTCCCCCTCTCACAATTTGAATGACTCCATGGACTCACCAGGTCTCGCACTCCATACTCATTCTCCACCTTCGTTTTGAGCTGGGTAAAGCACTCCTCCATCCGATCGTGGAAAGGTTTCAGAGCTTCAGTGACCTTCTTCCCATGAACTCTGATCCCTTCCTCCAGCAATGGGATCTTCAAAGGAGAGAACAAGAGATAAATGACAATCTTCGAATGGCACCAAACTTCTTGTTTATTGTCCAGGGTTTAGAAAGTTGAAAACAGATATTATATTCTCCTTTTAAAGCCCCTAGGTTCACCATACTTGGGGGACTGTGAACAGTTCCAGTCTCCATACCTACACAGAAAACAAATTGAAGAGGCACTGGAGAAAGTGCAAAAATGGATTTACCAAAATTTTTATCTTAATTCACTTGTGGCACTGGACATCATTGGCTGGGCCAGCGTTTATTTACCATCCTTAGTTGCCCTTGAGGAGGTTAAGATTACAGGGAGAGGGTGCAGAGGAGATTTGCCTGGGCAAAAGAGTTTCAGTTATGAAGAGAGATTGAATAGACTGGCGCTGTTTTCATTAGAACAGAGGAGATTGAGAGGGTAATGATTGAGATGTATAAAGTTATGAGAGGCATAGGCAGGGTAGACAGGAAGAAAGTTTGCCTCTTGATGGAGAGATCAATGACCAGGCAGCACGGATTTAAGGTAAAGGGCAGAAGGCTTGGAGGAGATGCGGGCAAAACATTTCTCACCCAGAGGATGGTGGCAATCTGGAACTCACTGCCTGTAAAGGTAGTAGAGGTAGAAACCCTCATAACATTTGACAAGTATTGAGACGTGCACTTGCAATGCCAAGGCACACAAGGTGATGAGCCAAGTGCTGGAAGATGGGATTAGAATAGATGTTTCTGATTGGCAGGGACGTGATGGAGTGAAGGGCCTTTTTCTATTATTTCAGAGATAGCAGGAACTGCAGATGCTGGAGAATCTGAGATAACAAGGTGTAGAGCTGGATGAACACAGAAGGATCTAGGCCCGAAATGTCAGCCTTCCTGCTCCTCTGATGCTGCTTGGCCTGCTGTGTTCATCCAGCTCTACACCTTGTTATCCACTTTTTCTATTATATAGTTTTCTCTGAATTTACGGAACATGACCCAAGCTGTTTTTGAGCTGGCAAAGTTTCTTGTAGTAAATTGTAGACAGAGCTGCAAGTCTTGATCTTAAAACTCACATTGTCTTGTGAGCAACTTCCTTCAGATCTTGGATCGACCCCTATCTCTGAATCCACCTCTGGTTTCCAAGGTATCCCTGGCTCCTCCATTCTGGCCTCATGTACGTCTCCAGATGTGCTAACTCCACTAATGGTATTTTACTGTCCTGCTCCTAAGTTTTGGAATCCACTCCCTGACTCTTTAGGTCACTCCCTCGCACCCGGCAGGATCTGCTCTCATAAAGGTAGAGTATTGTGCAAATCCGAAATAGGGACAGAATGTGATGAGCAAAATCAAAAGGTCTCCAGAAAGAGAAATAGTGTCGGATCTGACTCTTCTTCAGAGCTCAAGGGGCTGGGAAATGGTATGTTATAGTCACATTTTTGGATCATTGGAATGCCTTCTGGGATAGAAGTGACCTTTGTAAGAAGGACAAATTGCACCTGAATTGGAAGGGGCCTAATATACTGGCAGGGAGATTTGCTAGAGCTGCTTGGGAGGATTTAAACTAGTAAGAGAAGGAGGGTATGTGTGGAGGTGGGACCTAGGGAGACAGTGAGGAAAGAGATCAGTCTGACCCTGGTACAGTTGGGAAAAGGAGTAAGTCAAACAGACAGGGCAGGCAGGAACAAAGTAGAAAATGAGGTAGGACTGATAAACTAAAATGCATTTATTTCAATGCAAGAGGCCTTACAGGTAAGGCAGATGAACTCAGGGCCATGGTTAGGAATATGGGAATTACAGTGATGTGGCTCAGGGATAGACAGGACTGGCAACTTAATGTTCCCTGGTATAGGAATGCTATAGGAAGGATCGAGAGGTGGGGGGCAAGAAAGGAGGGGGTGTTGTGCTTTTGATTAGGGATAACATTACAGCTGTATTTAGGGAGATATTCCTGGGAATATGTCCTGGGAAATTATTTGGTGGAGCTGAGAAATAAGAAAGGGATGATCACCTTATTGAGACTGTACTATAGACCTCCAAATAGTGGGAAATTGAGAAACAAATTTGTAAGGAGATCTCAGTTATCTGTAAAAATAATAGGGTGGTTATGTTAGGGGATTTTAACTTTGCCATCATAGTGTGAGATTGCCATAATGTTAAGGGCATGGATGGAGAGGAAATTGTTAAGTGTGTACAAGAAAATTTTCTGATTCAGTATGTGGATGTACCTACTAGAGAAGGTACAAAACTTGACCTACCTTTGGGAAATAAGGCAGGGCAGGTGACTGAGATATCAGTGGGGAAACACTCTGGGTCCAGGGACCATAATTGTGATAGTTTTAAAATAGTGACGGAAAAGGATAGACCAGATCTAAAAGTTAAAGCTCTAAATTGGAGGAAGGCTAATTTTGACGTTATTAGGCAAGAACTTTCAAAAGTTGATGCGGGTGGATGTTTGCAGGTAAAGGGATGGCTGGAAAATGGAAAACATTCAAAAATGAGATAATGAGACACAGTATGCTCCTGTTAGGGTGAAGGGCAAGGCTGGTAGGTGTAGGGAATGCTAGATGACTAGAAAAATTGAGATTTTGGTCAGGAATAAGAAGGAAGCATAGGTCAGGTATAGACAGCAGAATTCAAGTGAATCCCTAGAGGAGTATAAAGGCAGTAGGAATATACTTATAAAGGAAATCAGTAGGACAAAAAGGGGACATGAGATAGCTTTGGCAGATAGGGTTAAGGAGAATCCATAGGGATTCTACAAATACATTAAGGACAGAAGAGTAACTAGGCAGGGTATTGGGCCTCTTAAAGGTCAGAAAGGCTGCCTATGCGTGGAATGGCAGGAGATGGGGGAGATAGTAAATAAATATTTTACATCAGTGTTTACTGTTGAGAAGGATATGGAAGATAGTGAACGTGGGGAAATAAATAGTGACATCTTAAAAACTGTCCATATTACAGAGGATGAGGTGCTGGACGCCTTAAAATAGATAAAGGTGGATAAATCCCTGAGACCTGATCAGGTGTACCCTAGAACTCTGTGGGAAGCTAGGGAAGTGATTGCTGGGCCCCTTGTTGAGATATTTGTATTATCAACAGCCACAGGTGAGGTGCCTGAAGACTGGAGGTTGGTTACTGTGGTGCTCCTATTTAAGAAAGGTAGGAAGAAAAAGCCAGGGAACTATAGACCAGTGAGCCTGACATCAGTGGTGGGCAAGTTATTGGAGGGAATCCTGAGGGACAGAATTTACATGTATTTGAAAGGGCAAGGACTGATTAGGGATAGTCAACATGGCTTTGTGCGTGGGAAATTATGTCTCACGAACTTGATTGAGGTTTTTGAAGAAGTAACAAGGAGGATTGATGAGGGCTGAGCAGTGGATGTGATCTATATGGACTTCAGTAAGGCGTTTGACAAGGTTCCTCATGGTAGACCAGTTAGCAAGGTTAGATCACATGGAATAGAGGAAGAACTAGCTTTTTGGATACAGAGCTGTCTTGAAGGTTGAAGACAAAGTGTGGTAGTGGAGGGATGCTTTTCAGACTGGAGGCCTGTGACCAGCAGTATGCCCCAAGGATCAGTGCTGGGTCCACTGCTTTTCTTCATTTATATAAATGATGTGAATATGAACATAGGAGGTATGATTAGTAAGTTTGCAGGTGACACCAACATTGGAGGTATAGTTGACAGTGAAGATGGTTACTTCAGAGTACAACGGGATCTTGATCAGATGGGCCAATGGGCCAACAGGTGGCAGATGGAGTTTAATTTAGATAAATGTGAGCTGGTGCATTTTGTTTGGGTAAATCAGGGCAGGACTTAGACAGTTAATGGTAGGGTCCTGGGGAGTGTTGCTGAACAAAGAGACCTTGGAGTGCAGGCTCAATGTTCCTTGAAACTGGAGTCACAGCTGGATAGGATAGTGAAGAAGGCATTTGGTATGCTTGCCGTTATTGGTCAGTGCATTGAGTATAGGAGTTGGGAGATCATCTTGCGGCTGTACAGGACATTGGTTAGGCCACTATTGGAATACTGCATGAAATTCTGGTCTCCCTGCCAATAGAAAGGGTGTTTTGAAACTTGAAAGGTTTCAGAAAAGATTTACAAAGATATTGCCAGGGTTGGAGGGTTTGAGCTATAGGGAGAGGCTGAATAGGCTGGGGCTATTTTCCCTCGAGCATCGGAGGCTGAGGGTGACCTTATAGAGGTTTATAAAATCATGAGGGGCATGGATAGGATGAATAGACAAGGTCTTATCCTCAGAATGGGAGAGTCCAAAACTAGAGGGCACAGGTGTAAGGTGAGAGGGGAAAGATTTAAAAGGGATCGAAGAGGCAACTTTTTCAGGCAGAGGGTGGTATGTGTATGGAATGAGCTGCCAGAGGAAGTGGTGGAGCCTGGTACAATTACAACATTTAAAAGGTATCTGGGGATGGGTTCATGAATAGGAAGGGTTTAGAGGGATAAGGGCCAAATGCTGGCAAATGGGACTGGATTTATTTGGGTTATCTGTTTGGCACGGACGAGTTGGACCACAGGGTCTGTTTCTGTGCTATATTTCTCTATGACTCTATGACTGTATTTGATGGAGGGGAGAAGAAAAGAGTGGGAAAGATGGGGATCATGGCCAGAGCTCTCGCTGTCTAGAGTCCATCACTTTCCAGCTCACCTTGTTTCTAAAGAAAAGTCATCTTGGACTCAAAAAGCAAACTTTGTTCGTTTTCCACATGTACACCTTGACCTGCTGAGCACCTGTTCTAATATCCTTCTATCGGATGATTCTCCAACAAACTATGTTGAAAATAAGAGATAGTAGGA